TTCCAGTTACGCTTGTGGGTATGGTTAATTTTTTCGTATTCTTTTTGCCAATAAAATCAGAAGAACGTACATCACTTGCAGCTACACTATTTCTGACACTTGTCGTTGTGATAACAGTTGTTGCGGAAACACTTCCGGCGAGTAGCCAGGTGAGTGTATTTGTACTCATTCTGTTGATAAAAGTGATATCCAGTGTTCTAACAACAATTATGACGATAGTTACTATATCAATTTATTATTAGAGTGGCGATTGTAGATCTTCATTCTTTTATAGACTGATCATAAAGTTGTTTGGACATAAAACGGTTGAAAAAGAAAGTGATGATGAAAAAGAAGATAAACACACAACTTATAATAACGAATGGAAGCATGTTGTGCACAAAATTGACAGTTTTTGCATTATTGGGATGACTTTGGAAATAATGACTGAGATTGTGGCTTTATTCCTCATATTTATGTATTGATAAATATGAACAACTAGATGAGAATGTGCATATGTTTATTTATTTTCATCATATATTTAGGACTACGTATGACTGTCTATTTGATTTTTTTTTTGACATCGAATAATACAATGAATGACAACGTAATTGCAAAAAACCAACAAAGACACAAACAACAACAAACAAAAAAGTAGATAGAAAACTATATATTGAGCAACATGAACTTTACTTAAAGCGGTGATAACCTTTGATACTCCGAAAATGTAGACAGACCTTCCTGCATTTTGTTCACGCATCGTTGTAAATATAACGGAATTTGATAAGACTGTCGTACAAGTGAGAGATTTAGCGCCATAAAACCAGGTTCAATCCACCATTTTCTACATTTGAAAATGCCTGTACCAAGTCAGGAATATGACAGTTGTTGTCCATTCGTTTGATGTGTTTTATCATTTGATTTTGCCATGTGATTTGGGACTTTCCGATTGAATTTTCCTCGGAGTTCAGTATTTTTGTGATTTTACTTTTTTTTTTGTATTACACGTCGTAATGCTCATGGCTAGTACAAATTTGGTAATATGTGTCATTCAGTGTTGCTAAAATAGAATATAAAGGCAAGTTTGTGTTCCTAAATCAGTCAGTGAAATCTTATATACCATTACGTGTTTTTTTTCTGTTTTTACTTTGAAAATAAATTGTAGTCTGTCTTTGTGTTGTTTAAAGATGTATGTTCGCATAAAAATATACCATTTATATAACTGTCTTGCATTTAGGACGTTCTCTGCGGACTTGGTGTTTTGAGAAGTAAAAAGTTCATCACTTTTTATTGATGTCGATAACAACGAAGTAATCTTTATATCCATATGATATAAAGTTTGTTTTTTTTCTTCAAGGAAGACATTCCGTTAAAGGCTGTATGCCATATCGTATGATTATTACATTACTAATAGTTATGGATGTTCGGATACTGTCGGGTATTATATATTCTACGTACTACCTGACAACATTTAATAATCTATATCTATATCAGACATGAATATTTAATTGTTATTTGATTTTTTAAGTTTGGTGTGAAACATTTTATGCATATTCATTTCTTGAAGAAACTGCACAAACGATAATTGGATATCAAAAGGTGAACATGCGGTAAGTTGATCAGCCACTTTTAAAGGATGTCTCGTATGTTCAACTGATTATTCTAGTCAATATCGGCAACTTTGTTTAACTATCGAACTTTTGTTCATGTTTTAACACGCAGACATAATTTTAGCCTACAAAACGAAGCGTAGAATTTACATAAAATCTTTTCCATTTTATCGGAGACCTACGTCATTTTTCTTTATGACATTCAGAATACAATTGCGAAATGATTTTTTTTCATTCGATAAGAAAAGAGGAGTGGTATATACTTTGAATTTTTACTAGACAACTTTTTTGTTCGCTTTGGAGATTCCGTATATCGTCAAGTTATCGGAATTCCAATGGGACTAACTGTGCACCACTTATTGCGGACCTGTTTTTGTATTGTTATGAGTTACAATTTATGACTAAAATCAGCAAAGACCAATCGAAACAACATCTGATACAAAAATTTAATAATACTTTTAGATATTTGGATGATATATTGGCTCTCAATTATGACGACTTCAGTATGTACACTAAAGAGATTTATCCTGTTGAACTAACTTTAGATAACGCTAATACTAACAATGAACACTGCCCTTTCCCGGATCTTGATATCTATATCATTAACCGGAAGCTTAATACCAAAATTTATGATAAAAGAGATGATTTTTCATTTCCTGTTGTTAATTATACATTTTTAGATGGTGACGTTCCCTTGTCACCATCTTATGGTGTTTATATATCTCAACTTGTACGATTAGCTCGTGTATATAACAACGTATTAGATTTTAGCGAAAGAAATCTATGTATTACTGAAAAATTATTACACCAGGATTTTCGATGTCACAAACTAGTCAAATAAAATTACTAAATTTTATCATCGGTACAAGGAAATCATTCGTAAATATAAATCAACATGCAGACATCTTATACGTTCAGGTATTTCACATACAATCTTTTATGGTAATATTCTTGACAAAGCAAATAATGTCGGCATTCACTTCAAAAGCAAACAAAACCTTAAACAGACTTATTAAGAAGGGATATAGTTACGATACTGTTGTCAGGTCATTAAAGATGGCATATTTTGGCTTTAATATTGATTCACTTATAGAGTCTTTGCATCGGAAATAAACACATTTATTCTAAAACCAGTTGTTGGCATGACACGGGTTATGTTCTTCTCATATATTTTATGATGGTATGATACTAAACCCCTAACGGGAGGAATTGTGCTTGATATTCATATGTTTTAGACATAATCTTTCAATCAGTTTAATTGAGGTCTGGAGCTGGCATGTCAGTAACTGCTAGTAGTCCTTTGTTAATTAATGTATCATTGTCATTTTGTTTAGTTTCTTTAATTACCTTTTCTGACATCGGACTCGGACTTTTTTTAAAATGAGTTTTCCTGTGCGTACTGCTGTGTGTTTGTTTTTTCTACTTTGGCTAGAGGTATAGGGGGAGGGTTGAGATCTAAAAAAACATGTTTAACCCCGCCGCATTTTTGCGCCTGTCCCAAGTCAGGAGCCTCTGGCCTTTGTTAGTCTTGTATGATTTTTAATTTTAGTTTCTTTTTTATATTTCGGAGTTTAGTATGACGTCCGTTATCACTGAACTAGTACACATTTTTGATTAGGGGCCAGCTGAAGCACGCCTCCAGGTGCAGGATTTTCTCGCTGTATTGAAGACCCATTGGTAGCCTCCGGTGGTTTCTGCTTCTTGGTCGGGTTGTTGTCTCTTTGACACATTCCCCATTTCCATTCTCAATTTTATTTTAAGTTTAAGCAGCAAAAGAACGAATAGTGTGGTATTCCCATTGGTTGCTTTATCACTTATACCTATTTCATTTGCAACGGCTATGAAAAAAAATGAACAATTTATTGTAGAATCATGTTTAGTTTTCAGCAATGTTTCAGATATTAACACTGCTGTAAGATCAGAACTGTTCAGACAATGTGCTTGAAGTCAATTATTAGGATTTATCAGTCTATGTTCAGGCTTTTCAGTAGTTTTCAATTTCAGTAAAGAAAAAAAATCCGCTTAAAATGAATTCGCATCTATCTCGTTCCGCTAGAATTGTCTTTTGTTTTTTTGTTTTTTTTCTTATTTCGGATGGTAAATTTTCAGTGCTTCACTTTTCGGATACTCATCATAAAATCGCTTTTTGTTTGTTTTAACCTACTACATGCAGTTAATATATACGTTAATAGCACACCAAATGTCAAGAACTATGAACAACAAGTGTCAATGTTCTGAAATGTGCACAGTCACCTTTCATTTAAAATATAGTAGGTATTAAACACTTACATGTATTTAAATTCATAGGAAACATTTCAAACTAGACAAGTTTAAAATTAATCAATCAAATCAAACTACTCAATGGTTCGCATAAGGCAAATGATAAAATAAACGTGTATTAGTTTACAATGTTATCCTTCTTTTGGTAAACGATTGAAAGTTTTGGATACATTGGTTGAGACGTTTCTTTAGATAATCATTTTGATATTTTACATTGAAAAGGGCTAAAACAAAACAAGGTCGTTTCTTTTTATCTGCAACAATGATGTTGACAGCTTTTGGTTTTAGTTCAAACAATGTTAAACGAGCAAAACCAACGTATTTTTTTTCATATTTGAAATAATGACATCAATTCGAATTTCGTTTGTCAAATTGCAAAATTGAAATATTACATTTCAGCCGTGTTTATTCAAATGATGTTTTATTTATTTCAAACAAATGTTTTTACTTCCATGTTTAGGGTAGAATGATTTGTAGTCATTGGCGTTTTTTTTATTTTGTAACTTTGCTGATCACATTCAGTCCATTGTCTTTGAGATAATGATAAGAAACTTACAGTTAAGTGTGTTTTATACTTTAACTCGTTTAAAAAAAATAAGGTATCACATAAACAAACATAAATCGTAATTGAAAGAAATACTGACAATACCATGAGAAATAAAAAAACAAAACTCTACATAGCCAAAAACAAATTTAGCCAAATAAACTTCATTAAACCCATAAATCATATCAGGTGTTCCACACTGGCACTGCAAACCCGTTTCCGCTGCTTTTTTTTTAAGGAATCCTTTTGAACCAAGGGTAAAGATGGGGATAAAACGTCCCCTTGAACATTTTATGCATGCCATCCGAACTTGAATGAGAATGTTATTGTATATCTGTATCACAAATGAACATCTATACTGATGCATTTTTTATTAATAGCTACATGTACATATTACTTAATAGTATTTCAAATCACATAACATTTGTATGCAAATATAGTCATCAATCATTTCAAATCAAATCTTTTATTAGAATAATCAAGTTTGTTAAAAGTTGACAAATGCAAGCACAAACACAAACAACTAGAATCTAAGCATTTAGTAAAGACATGAATAAATAACAGAGATATATCTCCTATTAAAAATATCTCACAAATAAAGATGTGTTCCCTAGTACTGTTATGATTCTTCATTTTCCTTTAGTTCCTTTAATTCGATATTTTCACTAGAAGTTTCTACGTTCACATCTACTGCATTATCTCTTTTTGTCACAATAAATGCATAGAATATAGTTGTCGCTATGATACCAATCTATAAAAATTAGAATAAAAGAAACAACAAATGAGTTTTTATCTGTATGATCTAAAATGTAGAATACAGCTGACATGTTATTCTGTGATAGTAGTAGAGACGTCTTATGATACTTAGAAACAATGTTAAATTCAAAAACAAGTGCATTGCTTCATTTTAGATTAACTCATGATATATACCAGGACTAACATTTTGTACTCTAGACGCGCGTTTCGTCTTCAAAAGACTCAACAGTGACGCCCGATTCAAGACATTTATATAGCCCAAATCAAATACGAAGATGTAGAGTATTGCAGACCCATAATTCTCAATGGTTTTGCTATGAACAGCAAAGGTAATCCATTACTTTGGTAGTCAATCCATAGTATTTTGAAATTTTCAAAGTTTTGATGAACAATTAAATTTCAAGTTTGTGTTATATGAGTATTTGATACGATTACGATCACGAAAGATAGAACAATAGATATGAACAACACAGAATAGTTTTTACCTCGACTACTTTGTTTGTACTATCAACGTCAGAGCAGGCTGACAAATCACTGACATCATATAACCGAAAAAGCAATCAAGTTAATACCATTCATTAATTTTCATTTCTATGTAGCACAATCCAAGCTGCATCTTCATTTGATGTTAAGACACCTAACATAGTCCATATATTGTTTTTACTGTCATGATTCCTTAAATAGCGGATTAACAATTTTTTGTTCATTTGTTCAAATGTGCTTTTATAATTAAAAGATTCATTAGATGCAAATTGTTTGTACAGTTTCATTTTCTCTAAAACATTTTAAGAATTCATTATGAATTTCACACCGCCAGCTTCTATTATAATGTGTTAACAAACGTTACAATGTAAATACTACAACTTTTACATATGAATCATTAAGTCTCAACAAATCAAAATGTGATATCTTACCTGAGCCGAAACGGAGAGTGTCATGAATACGAAAAAAGGGACACTGTAGGAATCCAATCTATTTAGTATTGCTGTATCACATCCCTACGAATAAATATTAGTGTGCATGTGGGAAGAAAAATCTGAGTGCTGCAAATCATCATTTTATATCTGTGAAATCATCAAAAATAACCGAATCAATCATTTAGGACTTACAATTCTGTAAGCGATAACCTTAGGCTCCGATTACCAATCAGCTGCAGTACAAAATAGCAAGTTTGCTATTTTAGTGCGTCAAAAGCACTTTTTGTCGGTTCTCAACTCGTTAATTCAATTTAAATCATTCTAGATGACAATCATTAGACAATCATGAAACAGCAAAATGCCAACCGTTCTACAAATCTGGCTTGGATTTTGCTTAAACGCCTTAAAAGAGTATAAGCCCTGCATTATGGAACGCCAAAACTGTCTTGTTATGCTCATTTTCATTCTATGATGTGCATGTACCTTTATATGATGTGCACTCGTCATAATATGATGTGCAAATATCCTTATATGATGTGCAAATATCCTTATATGATGTGCAAGCATGCTTATATGATGTGCACATATACTTATATGATGTGCAAATATACTTATATGATATGCAAATATACTTATATGCTGTGCAAATGTACTTATATGATATGCAAATATACTTATATGATGTGCAAACAAACTTATATGATGTGCAAATGTCCTTATATGATGTGCAAACAAAACATACTTATATGATGTGCAAATGTACTTATATGATGTGCAAAGGTCCTTATATGATGTGCAAATATACTTATATGGTGTGCAAACATACTTATATGATGTGCAATTATCCTTATATGATGTGCGTTTTCCCTTATATTATGTGCAAACATCTTTATATTATGTGCAAACATCTTTATATTATGTGCAAACATCTTTATATTATGTGATGTGTCATTATATTATGTGCTTGTAACCTTATATGATGTGGTTCGGTTTGCTTCATTATATGATGTCAACACGTACTTATATGATGTGTTTTCATCGTTGTTATGGTCAATGAACATGATTACGATTAGAACGATTACTGTTTACGTCATAACTGATTCTGATCTGCTTTTCCGGAATTACTATAAACCCGGCTCAAATCTTTAGCTATCGTTTGAAAAAAAGTGTGAGATTTTAAAATATATCAACATTGGCACGTGTTGTACCTTTTGAAGATGAAAAAAATCACATCTTATATTATTGTTGGAAAATTGTCAAAATATGAATTCAAAAGTTGAGGTTTAATTGATGGGTCTACAATAATGAACATATAGTTAATTAAATTATGGGTCCTCGACTATGAATTGAGCAAATGTACCAGGGGATATTCTGCATTTTCTAATGGCAGTTTACTGTTTCTGATCTAGCAGCTCCAGTCTCATATAATCTAGCGAAAGTGGATTTTATAGAAAATATGTGATAGTGAAATTTAACAAATTAACGTTTCAAACACTTCTGAGGAAGATTTAGATCAATTAATACAGGAGCTAGTTTCAGAATTTCCCGGCTGCAGTGAAAAAATGATAACACAACTTTTATTGCAAAAGACACCATTTAAATCTCAGTCATTTTAAAAAGTATTTTATAATAATAGCTATTAAATTATCTACGCATGCATAATTATACCGGTATGGATGATTAATTGATTGATTGATTGATTAATGGTTTGATTGATTGGTGTTTATTACCACTTTGAACACTATCTTGTTATTTCGTGGCGGTCAGTTTATATTGGTGGAGGAAGCAAAAGTGCACGGAGAGAACAACCGACCTTGGATAGGAAAACTGACAATTCTAGTGAATTAAGACTGGTGTCGAGCTTACATGACACGTGCAGGATTCAAACTCACAAAATTAGTATTCATAGGCTAGTGATACAGTAGTACGGCAACTTAGACCAACCGGCCACCGAGCCCCCCCCCCCCCCCCACCCCCCCTCCCCCCCTCCGGAATGGATGAAAGGAGATTTAGGATGAATGTCAACTACATTACATTTGCGCGCTGCTTTTTATTATTTTTTCGTGCAGTTATTTTACAGCTTCAACTAGATGATTATGAATGGATGCTTGACGTGCAGCGGCAAAATAAGTTAATATGCATATTCAGGACGAGAACATTTTAATGTGATATGAATATTTACCCTGCTTTGTACTAGACCGACACGCTGAGCCGGATTTTAAACATGCTAGTTCACAAGGTAACAATCGACAAAAAGACATGTCACCTCAACCGGACACATTATTCTGATTCCGAGCCAACCAGTCTTAAAAGTTTGTTCGTACTCCTTAATGCCGCGTGCTGAGCTGGAAAGCAGCAAATACCAATTTTAAAGTCTTCGGTTTGACCGAGCCGGGGTTCGAACCAACGACCTCCTGTACGCGAGGCAAACACGCTACCAAGAAACCACCGAGGCGGTGTTTCAACTAGACAGTTCCCTGCAATATAAAAGGTTTTGTGGGAAGCCACTCATATATACACTTCCAGACTCCTTAAATGTTTGATTCCAAATTTCTAGAAATAGGGAAGCGAAAAAATAGTTTGTTTCCATTAAAAACTAGTGAAAAAATAAAACAATAATAAAATTAAAAAAATTAACCATATTACTTAAATAAAAAGTTTATTTTTTAATAAAGTCGAAAAATACGTTTGTCCTGAGCACAAGGAAATATACATGCTCCTGCCCAAAAATGATGAATAGTCGGTGCCTAACCAGTCTGTTTAAGAAACAGACCCTGTGTCTATCATTTAATTACAAGGATCTGACACCACTTCATTTTACTTTCTGTTCTGGTAATTATTTCACTAGCCAGTGAAATTTCAGCCTTCAAATTTTTGAAGGTGCGTATCAATCCGACAAAACCAGAGAATCCCAAACGGTCTTTAAAACAGAAAATAGATTGAGCGTTTTAGGATCCTTGTAAGCAATGCTTGGACACACACTATCGGTCTAATCAGATTGATGTCTAAATAAACATAAACAAACTGCATTAATCTGTTGTTTACTGAGGCCTGTTGGTCTCATACAGATAGAGAGTTGTGTTTTTTTTAAAGTGAAGTGTTGCAGAAGTAAAACCAAGCGCTATAGATTTAAAGTCAAGGAAAACAAGGCTCCATAATTATCAAAGCTTGAGGATTGATGATGTTAAAATATCTTTTTAATCTGATACTGGTCACAGCGGCACATAGTTTCAATTTAAATATCAGGAAAGAGTATTATTAAACCCCTTTCTCCTTAACAAATTGTGCAGAATGTCAAGATATATACCTACATGAACTTTCTATTTCCATCAAATTTATTTAGATAATAGTTTTTGGGTAAAATGGTGGACAATACAGCTCTGAATTCTGTTTTGATTGATTATTTGACACATCATAGGTTTCTGACACAGCATGAAAGTTGAAATTAGACATTTACCTATTATATGGTCCAATATCCAAAATCTAAATACATGCATTTTTGGTTGAAATCAAATAAAGTTTTATGTAGACCTTTTGGACCTTAATGTGCATCTTTTTAAAAACGTGGACCAATTTGAAAACGAGGCCCAAAATAAAAAATCTAAATACACGGTTAGATTCGGAGCATCAAAGAACCACAATAATTCAATGTTTGATGAAATCAAAACAAAGTTTAATTTGGACCCTCTGGACCTTAATGTGGACCTTTTTCAAAACGGGGCTCAAAATAAATAAATCTAAATACATAATTATATTCGGCATATCAAAGAACCAAAATATTTCATTTTTTGATAAAAATCAAACAAAAATTAATTTGGACTAATTGGACCTCAATTTCGGTCCAAACGGGGCCCAAAATCATAAATCTATTTACACGGTTAGATTAATCATATTAACGGACCCCAAGAATTCAAGACTTTGAATTAAACCCCATTGAAATTGGTCAAGAAATAAGCAATTTGTACAGTAATAGAAAAATATTGTTTTTGACCCCTAATTCTTTAACGGTTAGGGCCATAACCTCCAAAATTAATCCCAAACTGTTCTTTTGGGGGTCGAACCTCGTGGTACAATTTAATAGATATCTATACACTTATACTCAGATTATTGTCTGGCAACCAAATGTCTTCCGACGACGACGACATCGCCATGCCATTATACAGCCGAAAATTTATAAATATAAAAAAATGAATACCACCTTTTTATTACAAAAACATTCAAGGCCCTTTTAATCTCCTCCTTTTCCCTCTTTTGGAGTTACAAATGACCGTTCCATTACAGGAGTCATTTCCCAGTCAAAGTTCCGAATTTTGCGTCTTTTAACTAATATCTTGAGAAAAGTAATATATAAAGAGAAACATGAACAGATAAAATGAGCAGCAAGGCAACATTTACACAAAAAAAAAAATAACATACTTGAAATTTATGTATCAACTTCTTATAGAAGAAACTGCCTCTAAACATGAAAGACATTTTCAGTGGAAACAAACTATTTTGTTTGCTTCTCTTCTGAAACAAATTATGTCTTTTTCAAGAACATTAAAAAAAAATATGCCCCCCCCACCACCCCCCCCCCCCCCCAAAAAAAAAGCTGAATGATTGTATTTTAGCCCTGTTTATAGTTCTTGAGTCTGGAGGTCTATATATGAGCGGCTTCCCACGAAACCTTTTATGTTGCAGGTTACTGTATAGTTGAAACTGTTTAATAAATGCACGAGAACGTAATAAAAAATGTACGCCAATGTAATGTACCGAGTTGAAGTAAGTCCCATAAGTGATTTTTTCATCTTTGAAACGAGCTGCCAACGTGCCAATGTTTATCTCTTTTAAAGTCTCAACCATTTTCCAAAAGAAAGCTAAAATTTTGAGCAGGGTTTATATTAGTTCCGGAGAAGCAGATCGGAATCAGTTATGACGTAGACAGTAATCGTTCTAATCGTAATCATGTTCATTGACCATAACAGCGATGAAAGCACATCATATAAGTACGTTTTGACATCATATAATGAAGTAAACCGAACCACATCATATAAGATAACAAGTACATAATACAATGACACAACCACATGATATAAAGATGTTTGCACATAATATAAGTATGTTTGCACACCATATAAGGGAAAATGCACATCATATAAGGACCTTTGCACATCATATAAGTACATTTGCACATCATATAAGTGCATTTGCACATCATATAAGTATATTTGCACATCATACAAGGATATTTGCACATCATATAAGTATGTTTGCACATCATATAAGTATATTTGCACATCATATAATTACATTTGCACACCATATAAGTATATTTGTACATCATATAAGTATATTTGCACATAATATAAGTATATTTGCACATCATATAAGGATGTTTGCACATCATATAACGATATTTGCACATCATATAAAGGTGTTTACACATCATATAATGACAAGTGCACACCATATGAAGACAAGTGTACATCATATAAAGGTAAATGCACATCATATAATGAAAAAAGGGCATAACAAGACAGTTTTGGCGTTCCATACTGCATCGTTATGTAGGCCTTTTGTTGATCGATAAGTTGATACACACTACATCTTTGTCGAATATCTAACTCTGTCTGTCTGTTAAAATGATCTTGGCTTTAATGTAAACTACTAATTAGCACTTATTAATCGTGTTTTGAATGTTGCGTTAATACTATTTGCTCTGTAGATGCAATAGTTTTACCTCCGGTTTTATTTCATTAGTTTCCATTTGTGTTAATGTCGACCTTTTACTATATATTTCACCTATATATTAAATTTTATGTTATCTTTAATCAAGAGAGAGGCGAACGATACCAGAGGGACATACTAACTCATAAGTAGAAAATAAACTGACAACGCCATGGCTAAAAAGGAAAAAGACCAATAGACAAACAATAGTACGCAAAACACAACATATAAAACTTAAGACTTGGTAACATGAACCCCACAAAAATTGGGGTTGATCTCAGGTGCTCCGGAACGGTAAGCAGATCCAACTTTCTCGAAATCTCTTTCTGGAATAGTATTAGTTCCAACCTAGCGTCACATGTCATAGCATTGGTGCATTGGAAAATTATTTATATCAAATAAATTATTCCGGATTTCTATAGGTTATTAATTCGCATCACATGAATGTTCGGTAAAATTAGTTCCAATTTTTACGTAAAATGTAACAACTTTGTGTTTTCCTTTTGTTTTCCTTGTTTGTTTGTTTTAGTCTTGATTGATTAATTGATTATTAGTGTTAACGTCACTTTCATCACTATTTGATATCACGTGGTGATCAGTGTCTATTGGGAAAGGAAGCTGGAGTGTATAGAGAGAGAACAACCGACCTTCTGCAGGAAAACTGATAATCCTAGTTGATAAGGATTGCACTTGAAAGCACCTACCACGTGCAGTGATTGAACGCACTAGCTCCGTGTTGATCGATTATTGACACTGTAGTTGAACTAATGAGACCACTCGACCATCGAAGACTCTGTTTTAATTATGCAGTATATTACAATGCAAACGAATGTATTCCAACGCCATCGTAAGACGTTATTATTAAAACAAGATACAGACAAAAAAGCATCTGAAATTTAAATAACCAGAAATCAAAAGCCTTGCATGATACATTAGTGAATCCAAAAATTCGGTCTTTTCTTTTCGGTGATATTTTAAAATTACATATTTGCAATATTTACCTGATTATTGTAATACCCGCTTAAAAACGTATGTGTACAGTTGAAATCGTATTCACTGCCATAAGGATACACTTCTGTTTGTGATTTACAACACTGCACTGGAATATATTGGGAGTCTGAATCAGCCTGGTATAATCTCCAGTATGATGTTCCGAATAGGGCAAAAACTTCAGTGCTTACACCACAGCATCTGGCCTATGTAAATAAATGATTTTTCTTTATACCTTTGAAAATATAGGCATTACACTGCAGTTGAGATTATACCTATGTGTCCATGTTATGCGAATAATATAAGAATACTTTACAATTCATCAACAAAACAAGATTACATATTTTTCATATAACCGGACCTCTTCAAAAGAGCAAAATCAATCAATGAAAAATAGTGAAAAAAGTTGAATTTCAATTGATGTTTTGGAATAGAACCAATCAGCAGAAGACTTGAACCAAAAAGATATTTGTAACACATAATTCATATCTATTTTTCTCTTTGATTCCAATAAATGTAATTCGTTTTATTTTTGTTACTATGTTTAAGGGATAAGTAAGTAACTGCTACGATCTATTTATTCCCTATTCGTAGGTTGATTGAGAACATTTTATTTCCGAAAGATGTCTTCATATTTACACAAAACACATTCGAAACTATACTCTATCAAATTGGACGCTGATTATTTCATTTTTTTTAAATTATTTTATCACATGTACATGTATATCATAATTTATGTATACTTTTCGAAACACACAAAGTGCAGATTATTCCAGAAGATCTTTAATTTAGGTGTTTACACGTTATCATAATGTATGAAGATGAAAAGAACAACGATTTGGCTTATATATATATATAATATGTATTTCGTGGCAAAATATTCTGTTTTTGGGAAAGTATTTATTCATCAAAGAGGCTTATTTAAGCAGTATTCGATGGGTTTGATGTTTTGTTCTGAGGTTAATACACTATGAAAGTTTGAAAATGTTATGCAAATATATACTTATGTCTTGTGAACGTCTGAACAGTGCTATTTCGTAAATTTATAAATTTGTTTTGACATTCGAATTTAATTATAAAAATTACCATACCTTTTCTGTTGTGTCTTGTTGTGTATTGCACTTGTTATTTCAATGAACAATATACAAAACAAATAGTTACAAAACAAGGAAAATAAAGTAAATTTTCAATAGAGTAAAAGGAGTAGGTTCACCATGGGTCAGTATTGGCAACAGTGCGAAATTTTACTTCATTAATACTAGTAAACGATTGATTGAAAATATGTTTATATATCTGACAAATAAACTATCAACAAGTTCTCACGCATTCGAACATTTATGAGGTCAGTATGACGTCATAATTGTGCACCTAAATCAATATTTCTACTATTTGTTTGGTTAAATTGTAATACATTTTGCTTCCAACGACATTGGCCATGTATGGACCACCATAATTTTGTGTAAGGATAAGCATCTGACCTATATACATCTTTGTACAGCAAATTTATTTTGGTCGAAGGGTGCGGCCAAGGTCTGTCAGAAAAAAATAAACTTTACAAATGCACAAAAACAGGTAATCAGGCTTAAACGGAAATACATTATTATACATTTTAAGATTAACATTATCGATTCAAGCGTAACAATCGACTTTGTCTCCTAAAACACGTGTTGTTATCACAAAGCTTGGTACCTTTTTTTCTTGTCTGCATCCAACCGCCGTATAAGATTAGTTATCAACAAGTCCACTTACGTGAATAACCTACATTTAAACATAACAGTTACGAACCTTTACAAATAATGTATTCCAAGAGAGCGATGTTTCCCTGTCGTAGTGTCCTGACGCATGTGAAAACATATAGGTGTTATGGCTGTTTACGAATTCTATACTTATCCGGTGTTCTATATACGTGTCTGTCTGTAGAGCAAACATTATTACTGTTGACACTCAAATAAACATATGAAGTTAAATATACTTTCACGATCAGTGGGAAATACATACAAACCATAAATATTGGGAATCAGTGGAAAAAGAAATCAGATCACACCGGTAGTTACTATTTAAATACCCGAAGTAGATGATTTAAAGCAGAAACTATTTATTTTTAGAATCTGTCTAAAACTAGTCTGACACGTTTTTTTTTAGATATCTGTACTAAAGTTCATTAAAACTTTAATTATCAAGCTGTGTGATTTAAAAAGTAAAATCACAAAAATACTGAACTCCGAGGAAAATTCAAAACGGAAAGTCCCATATCAAATGGCAAAATCAAAAGCTCAAACACATCAAACGAATGGATATTAACTGTCATATTCCTGACTTGGTACAGGTATTTTCTTATGTAGAAAATGGTGGATTAAACCTGGTTTTATAGCTAGCTAAACCTCTCACTTGCATGACAGTCGCATACAATTCATCCATTCATTATCTATTTGTAGTCTGAACAATATGCTTATGCTTTAATTATTTTTTTTTGAGAAAAATGATTTGCATCAATGAATGCATTAAACTGTCGGTTTTGCTTATTTAAATATGTAAGCTACCATTTTTTATGTCATTATACTAGTTTCTGGGCTACGAAAGTCTTATTACCTTTAAATAAAGAAAACATAAAACTTGTGCTCTCAGAGAACAAAAATCACCAAGATCACTATTCATGTAGACGTTAAGAAAGATTACCAAAAGCAACATTCCATCCTGAAAACGACTTGTTGAGAAAAATAATAGTATCAAGCTTGTATATGTATCAGAGAGGGGGGTGTGTGATATCGGGCCATATCAGCCCAAAAAATCTTCCAAATTTTGATTTGCTTCTACTCTAGTACCAAGGTCAATCAAGTAACATAAGGAAATATAAACAAAATTGTGAACGCCAAGGATGTATAAAGTAAGAAACACGTTAAGAAGTATATGATAAGAAATTTAAAAAAGGCAAGAAGATTTCAAATCATTTTTTTTCTAGAAGGAAAATAATTATGTAAGGTGCAAATAAGCTGTTCTGGCTAACGGAATGTGTAGAAATTTTAACTATCGTGCATTATTGTTATAATATTGATTTTTATTTTCCTTTCATCCAACAATCATTATGTATACAGATCAATGTTATATTGGTTTTAAATCTTTAATTCAGTTAACAACGCTGCATTGTTTTATCAAACTTTTGCGCCTGTCCCAAGTCAGCAGCTTATGGCCTTTGTTAGTCTTGTATGTTTTTAATTTTAGTTCAGTAATAAGGTTAGGAGTGTAGTATGACGTCCATTTTCACTGAACTAGTACACATTTTTTAGGGGCCAGCTGAGGCCCACCTCCGGGTGCGGGATTTTCTCGTTGCGTTTAAGACCCACTGGTGGCCTTCGGCTGCTTTTTGGTTGGGTAATTGTCTCTTTGACATATTCCCGATTTCCATTCTCAATTTTATTGCATACTATAACTGGTCAACATCATTCTAAGTGATTTACCTGTGACATAAACTCCTTCCACAAGCCAATTTGAACTAGGTTTGCCACTGTTATAATACTCCACAATCCTACATTCTGAACAAGAATAATATTAAATTCACTTCATTGTTATCAATTATTACCGCCTTAATTACAATCGCCTCATTTACGGCAAGTGATTTTTTTTCTTTCTTCATAAACTGATTTTTAGTCTTAATTAAGCAAAGGTTACATAAGTTGTTTGTTTATACTATCAAGGTTAACTTGCTTACAAAGTTGCGTGTTTGAACATATATTTTCTGTCAAATATTTTGTTTCTTTTTATGTTGCTATCAAATATTTCTGATTTTGTTTAGAATGAGAATGTATCTTGAATATATGAAAATAAAATATGTCAAAAATATTGAACTCCAGTGCAAATTTGTAAAGGGAAAGTTCATAAACACTGACAAAACAAACGCTATCAATCAACGGAACAAGAGAAAAGCAACTGCCGTATTCCTGACGTGGTAATGGCATTATTTGTTTAGTTTTTTTCCCTCAATAACTTAAGTTAGATTGTCTTTCCTTCGTGATTTATACATATCTTTAACTTTCATATGAAAACAAAATAACTGAAACAATAAAGAAGTAAAGTGTTGTTGGTCCCTGAATTGAAATGAACTTTAACATACTTTACGTCGTTGACTAAGCTGGCTCGGGTGTCTTCTTCCATTATGGATTTTTAAAAAGCAGATAACAATCGGTCTAGATCTTTATTGAAATGTGCAAATTTCGAGAGTTGTATGTAATTCATGTGTAAGACTTTTCTTTGTTGTATAGAAAATTATATGTTTTATCATATTTACGGCAGTTTGATTCTCTTTTTTTTCAACTTTGCCACATAAGGGGAGATAACTCAATTATAAGGGGAGATAACTCAAATAAAGTAAATTTTATACAAGAATGTATTGTGAATTTGCCTATTTGATTTTGTAGCAAGAAAACGAGTTCATTGAACCCATTTTTGTTTCTTATCTGAAAGCATATTATTAGAGCTATCTTCGAATATTTTATCTTTAAATTCTATGGTGTAGTTTTCTTTTTATCACACAAAATTAAGTCTTCCATGCATAATCTATACAAAATCAGACAATTTTGCAAAACCCGTAGCATGGAAAAATGCCCTATGACACATACTTTTATTATATGTTTGAATAAGGTATGATGTAAACTACCTTTTGACAAATTATTAAAATATTCTATGGATTTTAATTTAATTGTTGTCTCCCAATTTCACATTTGATATTAAGCATATGCATTTTGAGTGTTCATATTTTTCGAGGGATGTCTTTTTTCCTGTGTTTTTAATTTACCTTTTCTTAGATCATTAACCTTACATATATTTGTATGTTCCTCGTTTACACGTACAATAAACAACAGCAGCCTTTTCCATTTAGGTGAGACCATAGAACCAACTGAGTATATCAAGAGAACAATCGACGCAGATGAAAAAGTAACAACAACAATGGAAAACATTTTGAGTGCTCTGGTCAGTGTTTGGTCTGCTATTCTGAACTCCGACAGCAATGCCTGTATATCTATGTTTCCAAACACGGAATCATACCGAACGTATATTGCTAATCCAAGTGTTCCAATATTACATACCTTAAATATATTGATCGGTGTTTCAAATCATCAATGTATCTATTTAAAAACTACTAAAATTCTCTTTGTGAACATTTCTTGATTATTTTTTGTTGTTTTTTGTTGTTTTATTTTTTTAGTTTTCTAAACTATTTGTATTTTGGCTTGCTTCCTCTTGTTTGTCATGGTGTTGTCAGGTTCTCTTCGACATTTGATTTTTTTTTTATATCATCGGCCTTTCTACCAATTAGCCACCTAATTTCTTTCTATCTTATTTTAAAAACATATCAAATGCAATATCATTGTTACTGTATAACCAGTAGTTTTTTTCGACATTTTATTAAACGTAGCTCTATAGAATTTTTTATATCATTTGTATTAACCATTTCTTGAAATCATTATTACAAAATTTGCGTTTTGATCTATTTTGTAAAAAATCACAATCATAAATAAACTCAGACATTTTCTGAATTTAGAAGAAATAAAACTTACCTATTTCATAATGTATATGTATCTGTAATAATATTAATTTACAATATTTTGTTTCGAAATCAAGACATATGCCTCATTCTTTCTAATCTTTCCTTTAACTTATCAATATTCCTCAGAACCCAAATATACGCACTCACCAGCACAATCCCATACAAGATGAAATGTAACAGCGAAGTTTTGGATCTAAAAATGAAAATAATTCGTATGTTCTTGAAGTAAGAATACACTATATGTTGTTGCCTTGCCCATAATTTTAAGCATACGCTTTAGTTTTTAAGGATTGACAAATTTCAATTCAACTATTGTTGATCGTTCGTGTCTCTTTCAATGTATACGCTGCTTTTTTTCTAGACATTTTTTCGATATATATGCATAAAGAAAACTCGACCAAACAACACATTACTGAAACATAATTGGCATTAACATGACTTTTAAAAAAAATCACCTTTATCAAAATAACATGGTAAAGTTGCAACCTTTCTCTGCAAATGCAAGTATTTTGTATTAATCCCGAGGTGATGACTGATGTGAGTTCACCTTTCGGAAGTTTTACGAACACCGGCATGACATGAGTAAATGCTACGATAGGCATCAGATAAAAAGATGGAAAAATAACTTGTTCCGTTCCAATATCAGTTCCACGGATATTGACAGCTTTTGAGAGCAGCCACGTTGTCCATTATTTGATGTCTGAAAGTATCTATTGTTTTATAAATCATTGTGTTTTGGTTATTTTTCTGTTTATAAGCAAAATTGTTATTTTTTCTGGATGGAGTCTTGTTTTTCATAATTGTCTTACGTAGTTGAGTACTAGTAATTGTTCTTACATTCATGTGTCAATGTTTTGTGTACATTTGACCAATAGACAATTTTCGAATTTGTACCATTTCTTCCAAAAACTTTAGTTTAAGCGAACACCATTTGTGCTTTTAGGGCATCGTCGTTTCCTTCCCACGTTTAGCGAGTGGTTGAAAAAATATAATGCCGTATTGCACGAATTATTAGTGAAATTGAATTTTTATAATTCAGTACTGCTGTCATTAAGGAATTGTGATTAAGTACCTACGGAACAAACACTCTTTTTAGTTTATCCTGCAAAGTGACGATCACGAAGACGCTTGATGAACCTATGCAGGGATACAGGTGATACCCTATGTCTGGTAAATGACGTCATAAATGCTCGCAAAACTGTTCCGGTGAAGGACATAAATCGAAAGTGGTCTAGTGTATGTATCGCTCGATATAATGCGAAAAAGATGTAAACAGAGGAGTAGTAAATAAAAGAACATTTTAAGAAAAATAATTGAAAATATTATAATTAGGAACTATATAGAAATTGAAAAGTACTACTATTCCAGGTGCAAAGGAGAAATATGATAGGGAAGGAAGTCGGAACATGAAGATTACAGTTGCTTGGTATTCACCAGTCATATTCAAACAGTGGTGGCGAGGACCAAAGGGCACTTATAATCGATAGGACATTTATTTGCACTATCTAACAATCATTTGAAATACAGAACGTTGCATTTTTTTTTTACTATTCTACAAAACAAAAGCACTGCAACTTTCATCTAGTGACATATTTTTAACCTCAACTGTTAAGGCTTTCCGTTTTAAATTTTCCTCAGAATTCTGTATTTTTGTGATTTTACTTTTTAGTCCACTTTTGGTAATATCATTAAGGGGTTGCTTGGTATGTATACATCCCGCAATAGTGTTATGTGCTATTTTTCGTATTCTTGTCTTGCAGTTTATGCTCATGTGTTTTATCTATAGAGTGTCTAAATGCCATTTTGTTTTCATATGTTGACATTGTGTTTTTTTTTACTCATTAAGATAATAACACAATGATGACTGCTGTACACTTTTTGACATTTTTACCTTTTATATATATTTGTTGTGCTCACATATTGTTGTCACCAAATGGAATTATTTGCAACTGTCATACAAGTTTCGGTCTTACATAAGAACAAAGAGAGAGTTTTAGCCAACTGTTTTATGTAACTGTACCTTTTCCAGCCAATGATAAAGAAGTGTTGTATCCCTCCAAATATTTTGCGTAATATTATTGTCTTTGAGTTAGGTGCCTTATCTGGGTCAGCAGTACTTTTAGTGTCAAGTGTATTCATTGATGTGATCATTGAATATTCTTTGTTTGCAAATAGGAATCCGATAATCTATAAGTGTAAAGTCATGAGATTATCATTCGAAACACGAAATTTAATATTCATGCATCCTTTAGATTATTTTGAGAAATTTCATATTAATAATCTTTTTTCATAAGATTTGTTTACGCAAATGTCTACATGAGCAGAAATTTTACTACATGAAAAACAACAATGTATAGCAGAACTTTTTGTATGCCGGTTATATATCATTATATTGAACAGCTAAAAAGATATTAATAATTCATACGTTGTACATTTATTAACACATAATGTTTTTGTGTGTTTGCGGACCATTGGCTGTTTGACCTGTAATATAATATCAATGCGTTATTAAACTTTAAATGTATTCTATTACGACATTATTATTTCACGTTTACTGGAAAATTCTTTTAATTTACATTTGGGTATCTTGGTGAAATTGTTTGCCTACAACGTATTACAAAAAGTGATTGGAATTTTGGTAACGATAACATAAAATAACTGTATTTGACAAGTCAATGGCTCTTTTTTAAGTGTCCATTAACAATATATTTAACGCTTACTTTATCGAAAAACCCAGTTTATCATAAAGGAAGTTTCCAATCAGCATGATGTAGTTTAAAATGGATAATTATGGTTGTCATAATGTTTGCGTATGGGCTGTCTTTTTCGTATGTAAATAAACTCATCATAGATAATATATTGTACTTTCTCGTGTGGAGAAGGCTTACATAGACTCGGCATGTAGCCTAATCAAATCTATGGATTTAAATAAAAACCATCATTCAAAGTAAACCATATTCTTGCTCCTTTTAAGAGTTTATGCAATTCCATCCGTTTTTTTTTTAATAATTTTGTATTTTGCAGAGCTTTGACATATTTGTACTATACTATAGCAGTTGTCCTATTTTAACAGGTATTTATTCTTTCTATTTGTTTGGATTGATAATCATTTGCATTTGTCCACTATTTAATCGCCCTATTGTTCAAATCACAAAACAAGGTTGAAGGGTTAAGATTGACATTTCAATGTATCTATGTTTTTCTTCTTCTAATACCTCAATGATTATTTGCACTAGCACTATTCCAAGAAACCAGCCAATAAACATTTTGGTTTTGAAGACAATCGTTCCAGTGCATGTCTAAAAGAGCATAAAAACATTCAATCACTTTAATTAACATTTTGTATGTACAAAAACATAACCTGTTGTGTTATCTTTATTTGATGTGTATCGATATTTTTTTTAAAACAGAAATCTTTCATTTGCAAGAAGAGATTATGCCTAACCACGGATACATTTCAATTCGCAGAACATTTATACGTTGATTTCTTAGAATAAACAAATTTTGTGTTTTTTCTTTATTTAGGCAAGGTCGCAGCAATGACTTTCAATGATAAAGGTAAACATATCTTCTCGAAGTGAGTCGCTTTTCATTCTATGAACGTTATGAAAAGTAGTACATATATCTTTAAATTGTCGTACATGTGAAGTCGTATTGTTTCCATCCTTTCATCGTTTACCACACATTATAACAAACAAAACAATTTGTACTTTCTTGACGAGCACAGTTCTTATGAAAAAACACAATATGATACATTCTCTGTTGAGAATGAATTTCAAATATCTGACATTATGAAAATAAGTCTTCAATATAAAGCGTTAGACATAAATTTGTAAAGTGTTTTAATCATTTTTCATACTGCTGTTGGTACACTGAAGTCCCTTACTGTATTCTTAGGTCATTGGTGCAGGATTTTGTACTGATATGACAACTGGTTCCAATTGTTGTAACTACAATCCTGTCTCCTCTTCCCCGAATGTGACCTGCTGAAGGGTTTGTACTAACATGTGCAACACGATGGGTGCCATACGTGGAGCAGTATCTGCTTATCCTTTGGGAGCACATGAGATCACCACCAGTTTTTAGTGCAGTTCGTGTTGCCCAGTCTTTGGTGTTATGTGTAGTGTGTTGTGTATTGTTGTTTGTTTGTCTTTTCGGTTTGGCCATGGCGTTGTCAGTTTATGTTTTACGTGTGGGCTTGAAAGTCCCTTTGATATCCTTCGCCTCTCCTTTTACAGCGTTCTTTACAAATAATTTCCATTGATGAATTTATAAATTATATAATCACAAAGTCGGTTTACTAGAAACTATATAGACTAGGATCGTTTGAACAAAGATAATTTAGAAAGTAAATATTTATTAAACTTACGTCTCTTTTATATCCACCACAATTACCAAAATAGTCTAAATTATTTGAACTTGTAGTGTAATACGATCCTGCATCCATTCTACTCTCGTGAGCATTTTTACAACAGAACTGGTATGCGTATATACCACCAAAACTGGTATCAGAAAACCAAAAC